GCTCGCGGACAAGCACTGAGCATACAGTGCTTATTAATATAAGCATCTGCACTAGTAAGCAGGAGGTTGTGGGTTCGAGTCCCACCCGAGTAAGCTTGTAATGTTTTTTCGTAAGCTTCTCGGACAAGCACTGAGCATACAGTGCTTATTAATATACGTTGGGTAAGGGCAAACCCGTTATATATAATTTCTTGTCTTTGCTTCTCCTCCACCTGCCACCTTCACCAAGTCATGACTTGTTTGAAGTTGATCATTCTGATCCAACCCACAGCACTTTTGTCTGAGCAAGTAATTAAATCTGACAGCATGTCATTCTTCGTCGACATTTAGTATTTCAACTGTTTCCTTAAGAGTTAACTTCCCCCGTCTGCTACGTCTCCTGCCTTTCCGTTGTACAATACAGAGGACACCGCGGGTGCTGCAATTCAATGGGGTGGGGGGCAGTAGTCCCGTTTGTCATGGTAGTTTGGGAACATAGGGATGCAGCATACCTTGAAAGTTGCTAGTTGTTGGGGCGCCGCATAGGTCATCAACGTTAAGTCCAAATTCTGCCACAGCAGAAAAATGAGTGTTTTGAAAAAACTTGACGTAAATTCTAAAACCTTAAAATCTGCAGCAGAAAATGATAAATTTGGGTTGTCCACTTTTGGCGCTCCACGTGGGGGGTGATATAGTCATGAATATGCCGACGAATAATGAACTGTGTACATGCTTCTGCTCAAATGCACAAATTGGTGTATTTGCAAGGAACTAGCTAGGTGCATCTGACCATGGTCTGACAACATCAGAAACCCGTGGCATTAGCAACACGTGTTAGAGAAATTTGTGATCGCAAGAACAGGTCATGGTATTTGTGACTGGCAGATTCACTCACAGAACCTCAGGTAATATTAAACGAGTTTGCCACCAAACACGCTTCGCAACCAATGCCGAAAACCAAGTCTTCCTATCGTTCCACACAGGTAGTTGCAGTCATGTTAACATCAGTAGTACAAACCAAAGGAACAGACAGACATGATCAATTCCATGCAGCCTGACGGTACCGCACACAGGCTCATCAAAATAGCTTTGTTTCGCCCTGACCGACTTTCGCCAAAGGTCGTCTCAACCGTCCAGGCCTTCCTGAGCCAAGGCTAGACGACCTGCTATCCGGGTAAACCTAGGTCGTGGGTCTGTTTGGAGTGTTGTAGGCCGCCAACACGTACTACTCAGCCTCTCTTCATGGACGGACTTCAGGGACGGACATTGACAGACTGACTGGACAGACAGGCGGAGAAGTAATGGACACTGACACCTCTACTTATAGGCTTCAAATAACAATCAAAGGGTTTTTAATTACTGATCACCTCCTAATTTGCAAGAATCTCCCTCCTGGAGCGTATAAGGACCGTAAAGCACAGCCAAAACTCCTAACACTGCGCAAATTACAAGAACTATCTCCAGTCAGCACAAAGACCTAAATTCCCCCGGGGAATAGCAAACAGCCCCCAGTGCGTCCCCAGCTTCCGATCCACTATCGTTCCTACCCGTAGTACAGCACTTATAGTACATGTACATGTATTACGTGCGGCTAGTCCACGTTCACTCTACTCAAGACATCTCTCAGACACATCCCCTGCCGCGCTCACACAGTCCGCCGACAGGGGCGCTGGAGACACCCACTAGCATTGCTAACTCGCAGCAAGCACGCTCTTGCACTTCAGCTTCTTCCCACTTCCCATGTTATGTATATACCTTGAGTATCCCCGGGCCGTTTTCCAATACCCAACTTCGTCTCCATCAAATCCCCGATAGTGGGCCTGAAGCGTTTAACTTAAATTGAAGTACTGTTATGTTCGACTCTTTTGCATCTTATGTTGATGATGTTTTGTGGCACTATCAGACTTACTGTTGCGTTTTTAATACAACCTCAAAGTCAGGAAGTTAAAAAAAAACCAGTTGAAGCCTGAGTCGGGTATTGGAAAACAGCCGTGTACTCTGATATGAAATCGCCTAAACGTCACATTTCATGACAGCTAACCTGGGCCTTTTTACACCTGTGTAGTAGGTCTACTCCTACTGCACTGGCGCCACGGCTGGCTCTTAGAAATGATCTGTAGCACGTGTACGTGCCACGTGCATTTTGTTTTGCACTTCGAGCGCCCTCAACACCACTGCTTTCAAGGTGTAACTTTTTAGTATGGTCCTCGCACGTCTGCATGTTTTCTTCTATGTTTTGTGACTGAGAAGTCTAGGAATGCCTCGGAAGTAAACGAGTTACACAATCGTGGCGATCAGTGCACATTCACCTTATATGCGAACGTATTGTTTTGCAGGCAGACAAACGTGACACCGACATCGGCGGCAGTGAGCGTAGTCACTCCAGTCGAGGAGTCCTGTTTTGGTAGGCATAATTTTTAATATGCTTAAGTTTACGAAGTGTTTGTTTTGCCTTCCCTTAGAACTATGCTGGAGTTTGTTGCTTGCGCGACGAGAGCAACCCACGCGCAATTCGCAATGAATCTCGCGCACGCTTTGAATCTGAAGCATACTATAGATATAGCATACGCCTGTTACGCCGTAACTATGTTGGGACAATCCCAACTGTAGTACTGCAGTTGGGCTGGCCCAACTATTGTTGACGAATTTCTATAGAAAAATTCTCAACCTTATCCAGGTTAACGAATCTCGCACTAGACACAGTTCATCTAAAATATGGCAATTTACCTGTGACATGACCAGATGACATTGTACACAATATGATTGTGGAACATGCTGGGCACATGCACAATCATGCTGTAGTCGGCCCGGCCCAACTATAGCATGCTCACAAGCCTGAAGAAACCTGTATGGAGGAGACAGTGAGAACCAGTTACAGTTTTAGAGACTTATGGGAGGAAAACCCCAGAGGAAAATTCTGGGTAAACCTACATGTATGGAATCCGGTAAGGACTGACCACCCAATCCATGTGTGGTCCGGGCTGGGATTCGAACATGAACCGCAGAGGTGGAAGGTGAGGAAAGAACCACTATGACAACCTGACTCTTTCAGCCCTGGATCAGGCTGGCCTGGGGATTCTATCCAATTATGGAGAATTTCTGCGTATGGGGAGAACTCTCCCGATCAGGAGAAAAAGAAACCTGATGAACTGTCTCATTTGAAGTGCTCTCCCAATTGGAAGAACATTTGAAAAGACACAGGCTAGGTCTGGGTTGAATGTAGGGTACATGTAAATGTACTGTGAGTATGACTGAGAAATGACAGTCAGTGCAATACATGTACATGTAGGCCTACCAGCAGTTAAATCCCTTCATTATAAATCTGGTCTGCTTTACAATATACAGTGTATATGCCAGTGTTGCAGTTAAGCTGTACATTTATTGCTTGAAATACAAGGCACATGAAACATTAACACTTGTAGGCCCTTGAACAAAATTGTTGGAAATCTTTATATTGTTGGCTTAACGAACTCACAAGTAATATTACTTCTCTGTTGGACAGCTGAAAACTCCAAGTATGGCCCAGACAAGGTTATCAGACTGCTTGAAAGCTCTGCGGGGCATGGGACTGATAACCAGGGCATTCATTGATGTGCAGAGCAGAGAATGCAATCAGGTCTGGAGCAACTGTAGCCTCCGTTCAGCCACTCAGGCAGTGCAAACCAAGGCCGAGGAGGCTGTCAGCAGTGCTATGGTGTTTGCCTCTAGGTTTGGCTCGACACAGGTGGGTACAATGCAGTGTTGGAGACTAGTCATTTGGCGAGTCCAACACGTATAATTATATGTGTACATGTACTAGTAGGCATTTCAGCATGGTTGGAAATTTGAATATTCATGTGCTGACAATGGCAAAGGAGATTCAATAGTATCAATTTGATATTGACATTCTTTTCAAAATTACTCAGCCAGTGCTTTCCCCTTGTTGCTTAGGCTTAAGCCCTTGCAGTGCCACTTTGTGCAAATTTCAGTAAACATGGGGACTTTGGAAGGGAATTAGCCGATGCATTGCACAAACTCAAGTCCAGTGAGTGCATACATGAAGCTTTACCCTACCTCCTACATACATGTGCACAGTGCAATTGAAAGTTAACCTTGGGAAAAAGACTGCGAACAAAGGGAAAAGAATTTGCATTCGCAGGCGAATTTTGCATTTTAACTGCTACTTTTCCTCTGTGCCAATCCAAAGTGAACCTGGTTTGAGAATGTGCGAAAATGGCGCAGTGCGAACAATTTGCGAATGCCGTGTGAAAAATCTGTGTGCAAAAATAATGCAAAAACTGCGAAAAGTGCGAAAATAATGTGAAAAAGGTGTGAAAATGGTGGTGCGAAAATCTGTTCATCTAGGCTGGATAGTTTCTGGAGTATGTCGACATCAGAGGCACGGAATAAACATCTCAACGGATGTGAGTTGCAGTTGTGCACTGGGCCTACATGTATGTATGTTAGGCACTGAAATGAGCCACTGCGCATGCGTTGTGTGCGTGGATCATTTTTGTGTACAAACACATGGACGCCTAACTCCCCCTAGACACGATGCAGTAAATTGATTTCTAGCCCCAGGGACCACACTATTTTTCATCGATTTTTGCATAAATGGATAGGCTTTGAGTTGCCCGCACTCTTCATTGAAAATTCTGTGAAAAAAGTTGAAGTTTTCTGGACGTTTGATCCGCTAAAAACGGGCATTTTTTTCAAGTGGAATATTTGAGGCTTTCTGGTACATCTACAAGACACTAGGTGTTATTTTTGAAAAGAGTGGGTCAGAAACACCTTCGAAAGATTGAGGTTTAGATCGTAAATGTGGGCACATTTGACTGCGGAGTGATGAAGTGTACTATACTTTTCCGAATGGCAGTGGCCGGGCGGTGGGTAGTCAACATGGTGTCCACACGCGGTAGCCTCACACATGTCATCGTTTCTTTACATGGATGGATACGGACTGCCTTCTAAAATTTTGTCTGTGGTAATCACTGGTTTTATTACTGCTTTTCCAAGATAAAGAACAAGTATTATGATATCTGGTGGATCTTCTGACTTTGGTCCTCTAAATTCTTAAACCCTCCTATGCTGAAGTCACTCTTTGGGTCAGGTGGTAAACACCTCAAAGAAGCACAGCTGTGTCATATTGTGTACTGCACCAACTATCCCGCACAGGAATATCAGGTTGCACTTCTGTGCTGTCCAACAACTAAGCCTCACTGTTTCATGCGCAGAATTGTACATTAAACCAACTGCAGTGAAGAGGACTGCACAAAAGAGCCTGCGTCATTTTGTGCCGGCAATCAACCGTATGCACATTGAACCCGTGCATGTTTGTGTTCCATGTTGAAAACGCATGCACCAGAGTGACTGTTGGCATTCATGCATACATGTATCTGGGCTGTTAAACCATAGGAGGGTTAATTAAAAAAAAGGTTTGTTCAAACACAAAGAGTGGTTGGGGGATGTTTTAGGCAACTGTTCAGCTACATGTACATGAACTTGTGAACTCCATACTTTAACATTTATTTTGTTGGGGCAGGGGCTAATTTCCTTCTCAATTTGGTAAAAGGTGTTTACATTTTCCCATTTGTGAAACATGTATACCAGGTAAGATATGGGACGGAGGGGTACCCCCTTACCTGTCCAATCCCTATACACACTCAGGACTATTGTTACCTAACACATCCCCCTAGAAATCTGTAAAGAATTCCTGAGATTCCGATCAAACAATGACCAACACAAAGGCGGGGGGGGGGATTCTCTCCGTCCCATATCTTGCTTCAAATGGAAAAATGTGTGCAATTTTTTCCCATTCGTGAAAAACAGGTGTGAAAATTTTGCCACCTGTGAAAAAAAGGGTACAATTTGTCCCACTTGTGAAAAGAAAATATTAGTTTTCTCGGATTGTGAAAAAGTTTCCCGCTTTTTGAAGTTAACTTTTGATTGCACTGTACTGTACATACATGTACTTGTATTTGATGATACCGGTAGGCTACTAAATTGAAGTGTGAAGACTTTGGAATCTAGTGACACCTACATGTAGGACAAAAAAGGTTTGGTGACATTGCCAGAACCTAAAAGACACTGGCCACCTGGGTATCCTGAGTAGTGCGACACAAGGCTCAAACTACACAGTTACTACTGAGAACTGCTTACATGTGCATGTAGTTTGCAATGTAAAGGTATGGTATGAAGCGCACGAAACGGCTCTAACCTCTTCAATTTAATCCATGTTATGTACATGCAGTACCTCCTGACTGTAAGTTAGTGTAAGAGTGTTTTGACTCTACATGTAAGTGCATTCTTCTTGTAGTGTACATGTACTTACGTAGCTGCACCACAGTCTATCCTCAACCGCTCACAAATAATGCCTTACTCTACTTGTAAAGTCTTCAGAATGTGTCTGTGCAGCAAATGCGTCTTATAATTTAAAACAAAACAAAACCTTGCTCAACTTTTGACCCACATTTATTTTTCTAATCTTTTAAAGAATTCTTGTGTCACTATTTACAGAGGAATATTGAAGAATTTTCAGAATCGGTGGCAGATGAGGATCCCACAGCCTGGGCGTACTCTACTGGTTCCTCAACCCTCGACCATGACCTCGCTCGCACAGGCAGTGAAGTGCCACCAACAGAACCTGCGTCCAACCTGAATGAATCGAACAAGGCAGAGGCCACCGCTGCTCCCACTTCAACAACCCACAGGTTTAAAATATTGGTTGATTTTTAATATTTATCACACTGAATCCATTGTCAGAATTTTTTAGGGGCCTCTGATGCCTGACAATTGAGGAAGATGGTAAGGTTTGGAGTTTCTATCTGCTCCAAGCCGGAACAAGAGAGGGTGTCATTTTGCAGAGCAATGATAGTCATCTGGGGAAAACTCACCATATGTGCATGCAAGGTCACATTTTGCACAAGACGTGCTAAGCATGTACACCCGGTATCTGTTTGAATGTACATGCACAGCCTTTGCGCTTTTACTGGGTGCCTGTCTTGTCTTTGCCAAGGAGGGTGGGCTTCTTCTCAGGGCAGACAAAAACTCTGGTGAATGAAATGCACCTTTTTTTTTTAGCACGATCAGCTCACCTGGAACTTAAATCTGCTGTCATTTTAATTATTTCCACTAGATATATCTAAATGAACCTTATTTCAACACAGTTACCATCGTGCCATCAAAGGTAACCAATCACCCACAGTTGAGAAGAAGCAATTAGTAACAGTGATTTGCCCAAGAATGAATATACCACAAGCCTAGTATGGGGAGTATGAGGGGAACATTACCCATATGCACAGCCTTTAATGGTCACTGACGACAAATTCTTTTGGACTTCACAAGCTCTCACAGACAGCAGAAATGCAAGTCTCCTTTTCCTTTTCAAAAGTGGTGTTGTTGTTGACTCTCAAAAAATACACATGTAAGAATTGAGAAAGCTCTAGTTCTATGATAGGAATTCTACAGCGGATTCCTACTACAGCAGTCCAAGAGGGATTGAACTTCGTTGAGTTGCATCCACACAGGGTTATCACCAGTGCATCTATACATGTGCATCTTACATTTTGTGCTGCTGTTATAAGAGCAGATTAGAATTATATACTCTACATGTACATGTAATGTGCACTATTAATTTATGAGAGAACAACTGGGGATGTGAGAAAAAGAGTTTTATCTCACCCCAAAAAACAAGCACTATTTGTATGTGTAATTAATCGTAATTGCTGTTAGAGGTACATGTGCAAATGATATTCCAAGCCATAATTATTGAAAACACCATACATGTATGCCTGTCTATACTTTTGCAACTAGGCACATGTGCTGGTATACTTGTACTGTGTATGTGGCAAGCAGTGAACAAATTGTCAATTTGAGATGATCAAACACTTGTACGTGTATGTATTTGTATTGGTGACTCCGAGGCTGTTGCAAATCAAACAGTTCAACAGAAATTCTTGTGCTTGAGTAAAATACGGGCTTAATGACAGATGGGCTAAATGCAAGATCCAATTACACGTACATTGTATGTACACATAGTGTGTGGATTCCTACGGTGAGTCTTGGAACTTGGATTCATGAGAAGTTTGAGCGGACATGCAGTTTCAACAACTAGTATTGCTGGGACATTGCTCTTGACAATTTTCAAATGATTGACTCCCTAAGTGAACCTTCAGGTTCTGGATGTACATGTACCGG